TCTTACACAGAACTAAAGTACTTACTGATTGAAGAGGTTATTCAAGACCCACATCTGAGGCAGTAGTACATAGGTACCTCCCCCTCCATCCCTGCCTCCCTTGAAAAATCTGGGAGGACACAATGAAATCCTTGAATGATTTTACTATTCAAAATAACTAATTGCACATCATGAAACTTATCTTTATAACTGACCTATCCTCTCCTAGCAGGAACAAGAAAGGACGTGTTTTAACATTGAAACACCATCCTTGGGCGAGCATACGGGTTTATGCACATTTGTTGCTGAGCGCTGCGCACCCAATTTATGTTGGAATGTTGTTGCCGTGCGCTTCGGACGCATGCATTATCGCAATTTAAAAACTTCCCTCCAGCCTGTCTCTTTTTTGCCGTTGAGGGTGTACTTCAACTCAGGGCAGATAAATCTTGCACACTTACATGTATATACATGTCCATGCATTCATTAGCAATCCCACTGTGTGGCAAGTAAAATTTAACTCTGACAAAAAGGATAGAGTGGCTTATTGAGAAACACACAATGCACACGAACTACAAGTATTTATGCAGACAAATAACAACTGAATGCAATCATGGAAATAGTAGGCAGTCCAATTTATACATAATTTACACACAAGTTGGAAACTGCTTGGTCCATCAATAATCTCTCCACAATCACAATGCCCAACGAGAAGAACGGAAGACCCAACACTGAAGCATACAACTCAGCCAGTCAGTCCCTGATACATACCGCTAATGAGACTACTGATTGGTTAGATTACGGTTTCACTGCAATAGCTTTGAAATATCACTCAGATTTCTAAGCACAATAGTTCCTTCCATTCTGCCAGTTCTCAGTGTTAAAAATCCCACAGGAAAACCACTGTGTATTTGTTTCTTTTATGACAAGGAATATATCCTTCATCAGTCACTTTGTAAATGTACTCTTAGTACATTTACATGCACATCACCTCAGCCTATGTAATCCTCTCTAAACAATTATCCTACATGCCACACTGCATGACCTGATGAATCAATAGAAACTGCCTTGAGGCCTCAACTCACATCGTCAAGTCTTAATTTAACACTCTTTCTGCGTTCCATTTCAAGTGCGAACGAGGACTTACACGAAAAGTTAATAAAATTCCACTTTGATCAAATAAAAACAAATCTTTGTTGATATCATGCCTGACAGATTGTGTGCCCTTTAAAGCACAGAACGTTATGCTACCGAGCAATAAAAGGAAAGCTGTACTTCTACTTGTATGCTGAAACTAACTGTGGCAAAGCTGTTGTATTTGCATGTTTATGATGTACAGCTTCTCCAGGTATTCCATGGGAGACCAACCAAGATACAATGATCCCAGATTTATGTACACCTGCTGATTGAGTGTGTCTACCAGCTCCCTGTAGAGCAACACAAGTGTCAAGTTTGTACATGTGGTGCTGCGCAATAGACAGCCCATCACATCATCAGATCATGTATGACTGCCCTGTCTGCAGCCCTCCAGAGCTTGTGGACTTCAACAAATCCAACCCCGCTACAACAGGATGGCTCCAACTGCTGTACAATATCGCTTCATGTCTCATACAAAAGAAGAAGTTTGATCACATGTAAGTCCTCCACAGTGGTTTGATAAGATGTTCTAATTGCATAGCGCTGCTGGCCACTATCTGCTCCTAGCCGCATGACAATAAGAAAGGCTCAAACCTTTCTACAAACAACTCATCTCAGTGGACTATGAAGTTACATATACACCAGAAATTATTATCAGGCATCTGATAAAATGTTGATAATATAACCAGGAGGATTCAACCTCAAAGAGGCTTGAAACCACAACAATCATTGCTCACCTTTTACAAACTGACCCGTACTGCCTTTAGAAATCTTCAAGGAGAAAGTCCCTGGGCTCCTTTGCAGAAGAAAGCATGAACTTAGGATAAAAATGCCAGTTTCAAGATTGGAGTGGCAGCAGTTCAGGAGAAAAAAATCTAAATGCACAGACAAGTTACAGTTCTTGTTCCTCTAAAATGCCAAGAGAACCAGTCAAAGCTAATTGTCTGACGAGGCTTAACGCCTCAAGACATAAATCCCTGACCATTTCCCATTCTCAGAGATGATAGAGAGGAATAATTGTCGTGCTGAACTGCTTGAATATTAAACAGGGCTAAAGGCCCATGCTTGATCTTTTTTTTTGTCTCTGTATATGCAACTATGGCCTGTAGCTAAGGCCTAGCTTGGAGGGTAACTAACGTGCTAATTTGCAGGTGTATCAACAGAAGTGCCTCAAGGTGGATGGATGAGACAGTCAACAAACAAGCTGGGGGAAACATTAATGTGGCAAACAGCTTGCGATTCACTTAAGGAGTGCAGAAAAACATTGCAAACAGCAGGTTGATAATTACTGACAATACTCACTTGCAGAAGTTGTGTAGTCTAATTTTAAACTTGGACAGATGAGAAAAAAATGTAAACTGAATTCCCCAATAGCAATGCACTTCACAATTTCTTTCAACATCCCAGTTAGTCCAAATCTACAGTTTATAAACAGCTGCAGGAAACATACAGGTACAACTGCAAACATGTCAACAGATGCAAAATATCCAAAATATGAAAAAAGTGTGATGGTTCTTATTAGCATAAAAGCAAGAAGCACCAGAAATGAAGCTCTTCCATATTAAACTGCTTGAAATCCTACACGCTTTCCTTACCCAGCAAAAGACACAAACCAGACAACTAGGATGTTAATTAAATTTCCCAACAATAAATTCAATCACGCTATCACGCACACAGTCTGGTGTAATCAAGTAGGAAGAGGTCATTTGGGTACCCCGAGTGTGAAATGGAGATAGTCCATCGTTTCTGCAATTCCAAAGATTACCTCATCTCAATTCCATCTATTTGTTCCATAAAGGCAGGTTATCTTGGTATTCAGTCTGTCATACATATTGTAAATCATCAACCTGCAAGCTATTTTCCGCAACCTAGGCTTCTCATTGCTGTGACTGCACCTGTGCATGTGAATTATTTAATTATCTAATGGACAGAATGGATTTCTAATTGATCATTAATAAGAGCCACCCAAATATCTAAACAGCTTTAAGGTAAACGGAACATAGGGCCCTTTCACATGAGGGCTGGAAACACACATCTGCAATGGTTGGCGCCAAGTGCCTGTCGCAAGGGATGCCTGTGATTGAATCGCAAGCTTTCACATAGAGCAATGCAGCACGTTCCTAAACGTCCCCTGTGTTGCCACATTCACAACCATATTGCTGGTAGAGCAGTATTCTGGTACCAGAGATTTTCACCCCACACGCGTACTTTTTAATGCAGGTTTTCACAAATACTTGTGCACGAATTTGGCAATAATAAAATCCTATTTGCTTGTTGGAGGCAGCCCTAGCCATACACCTCTGTCTTTTAGATTTTATATTTCAGTTTTTTGAAAGCCCTGGGCATCTTATGTTCATCAGACTCATGAGTACGAGTTGCCCCATGAGCAAGGTTTTCACTGGCAGTTAGTGATAGCCTTGTGACCATCAAAGACGGTATAGCACCCTGTATGACAATATAATATCAAGGACTCCCTTCATAAATTGAGTAGACCGATTGCTTGATAGAACAGGCGTCACATTTGTAAAAGTGAGGTATTGAGTTTGATCCTCAGAAATCCTTTGAATTCTTCCTTTTAATTTAAATTTCTGATTCATCGCTGCAAAGGAAATTTTTTAAAAGTGAAAGTAAAATCCAAAATGTTTAATGGGAAAGTGCATGTGTAATGCCTGAGCTTCATAGGTCTAGTACCTGTCCCTAAAGTATAAAAACGCTATGCTAATGCCCTCATTGAACCAGACGGTAACCACGCTCTCGATAACTGGCAGTATATTTTGTATACCCAGCAAGAAATGAGACCGAGGGGTACCCCCCAACATGTCCAATCCCTATACACATTCCAGACTATTGTTACTTAACACATCCCCCCCAAGATGTCTGAAAGGAATTCCCCAGATTCCTGCGAGACAATGACCAACACGAAGCAGGGGGGGTTCTCTCCGTCTCATACCTTGCTGTATATGTATTTTTGTAAACAGCCATTTTGTACAACGGCGACAGCAAAGGTGCGCATGCCTAATGGACTGAAATGCACAGTACCCTTGTGACAATTGTACCCTTTACAATCTCATGACCCATCCTGGTGATCATCGCACGACTTTCACCTTTCTTTCACCAGACTTTCATCTGGGCAACGAACACACAAGGACCCATGCAGCTTGGTTGCAGGGATGTATTGTCATATCCATGACGTGATATGTCTGTGATTGTGACATTGATGTGATATCAATCTTCTTGGAATAATCCTGAAAATCCGCCCTCTTAGCAAAAGAATAAAACCGACCGATTATTCCTTTAACCTTACTTGCACAGACCGGTTTCCCTTATTTTCTCATCCATAGAAACACTTCTCTTAACCTTGCAAAACAGCCTGGAAAAAATGAAATTCATGGTGGCGGCCGAACTCCACTCCACCAAACTTAAGAGGCAGAGGCAACATGTATGATTACGCCCCTCTGCTATACACATGCACAGGACCCGTGGTTTTGTGAAAGGGCCTTTTGAAACAGCACTGATAAAAGTAGTGTCACATGCAACTTAGTCAAAATCACTTTTTAGTTGCAATCCACAAAAAATTGTTTAATCTTCTTGAAAAACCAGTTCTCTCTCTAATAAAGGAAGACTTTTCAAAACAGACGGCCCTCATGTCAGTAGAGTAGTCACCAACCTAAAGGTCTTTAATAAAGAACAAAAGTGCACCTTTTTTGTAGAAACAAAGCAATGTGAGTCTATAACTATCACACACATCAAAACCTGAGCAACCTCAAAAATCATACAAATCACATAAAATGAAAAAAGGTTCCATGCAGGGTTAGATCTGAAGAAAACACAAGGAGTGACACCATCATAGCTTCATATAAAAAGGATGATTTATAAAATCAACTCACCTTTCCAAATCTTGAAAAGTTGAAATGAAGAAATTTCTTTCCAGATGAGCTAACCTTATGACATTTCCAACCGAAGCCGCAGAGGAAAGTGATCTCTCACAGCGCTTAGATCCACAAAATGAGTTTCTTGTTCTTTCATCAGAAAATGTCAAATTTATTTTCCTTTGCTGTGAATGTCAATAAACAAAAGAGCAGTGATTAATTTTTTTTACTTGCTGCACATATTTCCAGCACCAATCATAATTTTTTTTTTCAGTGCTAAACTTAAACAATCATTCAAAATTCAACTGACATTACAAATATGCGGCAGTATTGTTCACAGTTCATTTCCTAGCAAAAAGAAAATTACTTTATAATATGACACCAATCTGCGTTACTTAAATCCCAGATAAAATCCTGTGGTGCCCCATCACTGCCGGTATCCATGAAGATTAACCTGTAAGTACAGGAACATCCCAATACAGGTTTGTAATTCCAAACACGTTGAGGTAAGGCCACCAGAATGGGTTGTCCACAGCCTAGGAGCACAGACAGTAATAGTAATAGATTCTGAGACGGATTAACAGTGAATATATGTAAGCCTGCAGGTATCCTCGATGACTTGATAGCAGAGAGCTGGGCAGTAATGTGGTGAGAGTACTGCAAGTATTTCACTGCTAAGTGGAGGACTGACGAGCCATAGGACGCAGCTGAGAGGAAAGTGGGCCAGCCCACCACTGTCAGTCCAGGAATATCATTTGCATGGGGAAATTGTCTAGGATGTAACCGTAGTAATATTTATGCATCAGGCAAGATTAGACATAAACAAAGGTTTCTTTGTTGAGGCGCCATGCCAGCGGCCATTTTCATTAGTTTTTTTACTTTGCCTTTGGCAATTTTTTTCCCCATGAAATATACCTCCTCTATTCATTTTCTTCAGGGAATTTTTTTTAAGGAATGGAAGTAGAATTAATCAGTGAGCAAGTGAGAAGAATACTCAAAGCATGCAACAAACCAAATACATGAATCAAATCATAATAAATAAATTTAGTATCTTTTTGGATTCAGACCATGTTGATTCTGCATACTTTTTTTCTCAGAATACAGTCAGAGTATTATCTATCACAATGATTTCATCTTAAATCTTAAACCTAAATGTTGTCATCTAATTTATCAAATGTACAATCCAATTTTATGTAATGTTACTCAGTTAAATGGCCAGATATATTCAGTACAGTGAGCGTGTTTGGTTACATTGTAAAGAATACCGGTATGTCTACTGTGCAATTACTCTAATTAATACTAAGGCTAAGTTTAGAAACATTCTTCATCATTCGTCTCTATGCTATAAGGAACTCCTTTACATGTACCTTCATCAATTTCAAAAAATCTTTCCAGACACACACATGCACCATTCTGAAAGTTAGTCAATTTCTGTGATTGGGAGAGGGCAGGTTGCCAAATTGATTTTAACAGGGCACAAAAACTAATGTGGTGAACACATTAAAGAAACAGTTTTTTAGTACAAAAATTTATTAATCCCTTGGTTTTTACAGTGATATTCTGCCCCTCATTTAAAACTTTATAGTAATGGCACCCCTATAAACTAAGTTGATCAGTCCATGTAGCTTCTTCTTGTCTTTAGTATTGTGGCTATTTACCTGGATTCGGAGTCCCACTGGGCTCTTTGTTCACTAAGCTACCGGTTCTTTTGAAATTTGGGATCTACATGTAATTACTGGTGGGTTCTCAAAGTACTATTGGAATCAGTAAAAAAAAAGGGAAAGCTTTTTATTTTAACCCTCTGGATTATAATGAGATGTCCTACCCCTCACAGTCAAAACTTTTTACAGTATTATCCCCCCTACATACAAAGTTGATCAGGCCAAGAGTCTTCTTGCCATTCCATTATGTAACCAGCAGTCTGGAGTCCACTAGGCTCCTTGCTGGTTAATGTCCTTTTGAAATTTGGGATCTATTATGCAAAGTTAGATAAGAGTTGGGAGTTCCAGTCCCCTGCATAACTCCACCCCCTTTACCCCAGATGTATATCACAATAACTAGAATCCAAGATGAATTGTGCCTCTAGATGTTTCTTCATCTTTCTATTATTTCTTTGGTTCGTCAGGTTAAGCATTAGAAAACTCCCCCTCTTGTTATTTAAAGTTGTCTGGGCATTCTGTTGGGAATTGTGAAAAGAAGCAGTGCTGAGTGGAGTTACAGTATAAGGATTCAGAATTAGAATACGGCATGCTACTGATGAGAAAGGTTGGTGCTGGAGCTCTTCAGGTTCAAACTTTGGTCTCGGTGGCCACTTCAGACAAAATTTTGGCAAATTTTTCCAAACAGTTCGACGCAACATTAGGTGTCCGAAAAGATAGTTAGTTACACAGACTCTTACATTTAAAGCATTTGAGGCTGAGAAAACTACGCAGAGAGGTTCATCTTCAGATCAAGTCCATGAAGGAGGACTCAACTGGATGTACATGTAGAAGCACTTCTTGTGAAGAAACTCGTAAGGTGAATTCTTCATTTACAAAGATATTCATACAATTTCTACTGAATTTTGAAGAAATTTTTCAAACCAGTTTATTTGCTAAGTTGTTGAGTTCAGGGGTGAGATTTTAAGGAAATAGAATATCCATGAAACGATCTCCAGAGGTGTAGAGTGTCCCAAAGCAACATTTGGTCTGTGGTAATGATTTGTATTTTTACCAGTAACTGTTCATCCAACAGCGCACTTGGCGCCAATTACAAGATAAAGTGACAATTAAACAGACAAATGTTCAGTTTTAGAGGTAGGAGAATCCAGAATCAATATGCCATGGAAAACCCATGGAGTCAGGTAGGGACTGAAAACCCAATCCACATGCTGACCTAGGTGGGATTCGAACCTGGGTCACAGAGGTAGAAAGAGAGGAACAAGCCACTACACCAACCTGCCTGAAGGCACCCCCATAAAACACCCATTACTTGTGTTCTGTGTCCCCTTTCACTGACCTGTAAAAACACCATAGATCCCCAACAGTCCATAATTCTCCGATTTCAATAAGATTTTACATACACCTTGCGTTAAACGGTAAACTCGGACTTTTCCCAATTTCTGTTTGAAAAGTCCTAAAATCAGGTCATGACATTCTAACAAACCTCATGCTTGTAAGTTCTATTTGTTAAAATGATTTAAGAACTGGATGTCAAAGTCTATTAAACTACTGACTGCCAAGTTACAGTGAATACTGAAATGATGGTGATTGAATGTATCATAACTGGGAAAAGACGTCCTGTGCACGAACTCTATGAAACTGGGCTGAAGAATTTTTAACTGTTTTCTAAGTAATTGACTTGGTTTTTCCCCTCCTAAATAGAACTTTTCTGGACATGTTTTTGCCTTCTGATGGCTAATAGGTCACTGTGGGGAATAATCACTGGCATCCATATCTGGAACTCTTTCCCAAAGAAAAACCAACCATTTTTATCTCAACCCTGCCTCTTCAACATGACCAAGAAACAGAAAAGGGCACTCTTTCCAATGTTGTGGCAGAAAACGCAGACGTTCTTGTGCATTACACACCAGTTGGGAATTTGCATTTGCCTGCAACACTTGGGTTGTAAATGTGCGTACATAGTGGCAGCCACTGAAGCAGATCAGTAATGTTCCAAGCCCCATCATTGGCTAACGTATTTTCAACTGTTCAAGTCTTGTCAGTCCCCCAAAAACCAAGGCAATGCTCTCTTTATTAAGCTGACCCTATTTGTTGGAAATTTCAAATTGTAAATTGTGAGGAAATGTGGCTTTCTAGTTGTAAACAAGCCATTAAAATTCAAGCCCACCATGTGTTGTGTTAAAACACCCGGTTTCATCTCCAAATTCCCCTCAAAACTCAAAGCCCTGCCCTTTTTGACATCAATCTTATAGATATTGAGCATGACGTCCGTCATCTTCCAAGGTGAATTCAATAGTTGAAATGTAGCTCTCCCTTCTATTATAGGAACAGGGTCCAGGAAGTTTTCCATGTATGGACGCCAGTAATTATTCCCTACGCTGACCTATTAGCCATCAGAAAGCAAAAACATGTCCAGAAAAGTTCAATTTAGGAAAGAAAAAAACCAAGTCATTTACTCAGAAACACTTACAATTTTTCAGACCAGTCTCATGGGATTTGGTCACAGGGTGTCGAGTTTTAATTTCTTCAAACCTAGATGGCCAGTCGCAAGTGCTACTCCAAGGCTACCATGCACTACCTGGTCTGAATGGACACCTCTACCCCAAGCTCCTGGTCTGAATGGACACTGCTACCCAAGCTCCTATGCAAGGCATCCTAGTGAGTAAGTTCCCTGTTCAGCAACATTACAGAGCTGCAAACCTACCATTTCAGGGACTCCTGACAAAGTGGCTTCATCTGCTTAGGGTCAGCACTGAATTTTAAGTAATGTCACTATCGTACATGCAAGCAAATTTCAGAAAACCAGAAACATTAATTACATGCAAATTATTTTGGGAAGAGTTCCATACATGAACGCCGGTAATTATTCCCTACAGTCACCTATTAGCCGTCAGAAAGGAAAAGTTTAATTTAGAAAGGAAAAAACCAAGTCATTTACTTAGAAAACACTTAATATTTTACAGACCAGTCTCATAGGGTTTGTGCACAGGGTGTCAAGTGGCATCCGTATATGGGACTCTTTCCATTATTTTGATTCACTGGCAATTTGACAAAAGTCCTGGGCTGAATAGTTATAGCCCCCCCCCAAAAAAAATTCTGCAAATCGATAACTGCCGGACATGTACAAAATTAGCAGGTTTCCATGTACTGAGGAACAAGCTTAAAAATATGAGAAAGGTCCCCACATATTTTACCTTAAAAACGGTGTATTTAACCATTAATGCTAAAAAGCATGATGTCAGAGACCAGCATAAGCAATTGGACAGCCAAGTAAATTTAGCTTCAAGTTGTACTGAAGGTGTTCCTTTTTTTTTCAAAGCATTTCTGACAATGGTGGATTTACAGTAATTGAATGAGTAACTGAATGATTACCTGCCTGTGATGCTCAGCCCAGGTCACTCTGTAATTGGCAATTTCCATGACGGACTACTTTTAGACACATCAAGCCATGTATTGTATGCACATCTATTACCTATGTTTATATTAAAGTCCTTTGACCTTTCAATCTTTATTAACAATAGCTTGTACAAGAAAAAGGTTAACATTATTGATAGAACTGTGTTTTAAAGTTGTGCAAGAATACCAATTTTGCATTGCGGGCTATATATAAGTTTTTTTATTAAATTGTCATATGATTTTTACCTTTGGCTTTTGGAGCCACGATGAGCGAGTAGTTTTTCTTTGCTGAAACCCCACTAGACAGGGTCTGCCATTCATCCTTGAATGCAATGAGATAATTGTCGCTTTCTTTATAATTTCCATTATGAATGTCTCACAATGCAGGGGTCGCATAAATCACTCTGAAAGATCAATAGAAAAATTAGTCAACAGTTTCAAGATATTCTATAAAGTACACTCTGAAATAGAGCAACTTTGATCAAATCATGCCATAGATTTTGGGGGTCGAGAATTATTTCAGGGCTTTCTTGGTACGAGATTAAATTGGGGAGGGGGGCCTATTTACATGCTTTGGGGAAATGAATATAAAAGTCCACCAAAACTAATTTACCACTTTAGAAAAAGGAGAAATTTCTTTGGGATGGGGTGGGCAATGGCCCATTTGGTCCTCCTGGGTTTGCTAATGGTCTGAGAATCACTGAATCAAAAAATGTTTCTGAATTGTCAAAAAGCCTGCTGCGAGTATCCATGTACATTTGCACAGTCTTTCAAATAGCCGTGGATCTATTCATAGGTGATGTCTTGCTAAGTAACCAAGTACAATTTCAAAGTAGAGGTACATTTAATGGTTAATTAATCCCACTGATCCTAACTTTGCTCTACGATTAAAAACCTCCCATCTCGTCATTTTGTAGATGTACTGAACACGTGTCTCAATCCCAGTGACGCATTTTTTTTAACATGGACCTAATTACTGACAGGAAACCTCAGTGGCTAGCCACTGTCCCGTCGCAATAACTTCAAACATTGTTTAAAGGATATTGCCTTCACTTTTTGTGAAACACTACACCGTACATGAAAACTATCCGCCCTGGGTATCAAAAGAGGGGGCAATTTTCCTAGCAACAGAGGCTCCTCCGATGGGAACTGCACTCCCTGGTTCATGAACAACTATGAAAATTAATGTCACTGTCATATTACTATTGATGGAATGAACACTTCCCACCAAAGTGGCTCTTGTCAACCATTGAGGGGGTGCTTCTGTTCAGAGGATTTGACATTCTGTTTAGGTTACCTACCAGTATATTGAAAGTGTACCTTTTTAAACATTGTGATTTCAGACAAATGAGGGGGTTGTTGCTGTGATGTCAATCTGGAAAAATACTGTTCATTTGATGGGGTTTTATTAAAATGGAAAAACAACCATTGATTATTTAACACACTAATGGATGTTGAATAATGGAAATAATATAAAAGTTGTGGTGACCGTGACATATATTTAAATAAGTGAAATTGAGTCCGAGTATAAGTTTAACAAAGGTGCAATATTCACACAAAATATTCAATGGACTCCATGTGCAGCGAATAAAAAAAGGGAAAATGCTACAATCGTGTAGCAAGCACATCAATCATATGTCACTGGTTTCAGCATTACAGTTTAAGCACGTCAAACCTTACAAAATGCTGGGCTTGTAACCTGGTTTGAATTGAATTCATTCCATTTTACGGTGTCAATGTTTGCCTGATGTTTATCTTTAATTTTTCTTATTAACTTAAGTGTATTTTAACATTGGGAAGTTGACAAAGTAATGGAAGTTAAACACTACTCACTAGGCCTAGTATGAGTTACGGTATCTCATTGACAGACTGCAATCGCCCCCTCTTCCCCTAATTTGTGAGAACTTCCTGGACCTACCTTGCTTTGTAAATCAACAGTAGTTTGGTTATAATAATCTCTCAAAGGATTGTTACATCTCTTGAACAAATGCTGTTCACCGCCGTACTTTTAGGCCTTGGCCTAGGGCTACTAAAACTTTTTTCAAACTGTCACAAGTGTCAAACTTTTTCCTGTGCCCACGCCTCTTCACGCCCAATTAAAGACAATGTCCCATTCGTGAATCGGGTCGGGTCATCACCGCCCGTCTATAAGTTATGGCGCCCTCTTTAGTCACTACAACGCACAGACCAAGCTGCAAGCTGGCTAAGCGCCCACCGTTAATGTGTAATGGCGCCCTCTAAAATCACTATAAAATCAAGTTATTCGGCGCATACATAGAAGAAACAGTTTGTGCTTTGCAGAGAACTTCTGACGGCAATTACGTACAAGAAAACTGCAATTATACAATAAAGTTTGAAGCAATTTAATCAAACGACTTTGGACACTTAAAAAGCTGTATGGTAAAATAGTGTTTTTTGTAATTTTCTTCTTTTTTGTTAGAGGAAACTATTTTTGTGAAAATGTGTGACAGATGAATTAGTTTTCCTTACTGGAGACCAATACCAATTATTAGTTTTTAATTCTGTTCTTGAAATTATGCTGTAAAAATGTTTTTTTACCTGAGCAACGCACCTGGTGTGCCAATAACCATTCTTATGCCATTAACAATGAAAAAGAGGCGCTAAGAAAGATGTAGCAGAGGGCGCCCTATACATGTGTTTAAAAACTGCAGCAGACGATAGTTTTGAAGAATTACATTCGTACTTGGGTTTTCACTATATAGGGATTCACATTTGGGATGAACTCTTTCACATGTTCGTCGCGTGTGGTCTTCATAAACCCCGGACATTGATATTGCCCCATGGTTGTGCAAAGAATTATTTCATTTTTGTACAGAACTGTTCCCGCTTTGGCTTTTCTTCGTCGTGACGCCAAGATGGATCAGCTTCTGGTAAGGTGTGTCGAAGGAGACGAATTCATGTCAATCTCGTACAGTTACAGTGACAAACAGAGTAACATGTTGCGGTCTCAAATGGAAACCGCGGAGAAGTCTCTATCGCGATTGGCAAATAATGTCCGAAAACTGGGCAGACCCAAGAAAAAGAATAAAAAGATGAAGTGTGAACAAACGTCAGATGCAACCAACCAGTCAGCTGAAGACAACTACATAGTTTGCTCTCTGTTTGTCAATGGTAGCAAAGTTGGTTCGGATGTCTTAAACAAAGACGCATGGGTTGAAGGTGCCATTTTACATTTGGGTATGGCAAAGTACCGTGTTTGTCGCAACATGCCAACCATCCTGAGCTTAAAACTGCCCAATTGCATCTTAGTCGGCTGTCCCATTTACCCTCGGGTAGAATTTGAATTTATAAAGACTGACGCCTGTACATATACTTGGTATCGAGAGGTCAGGCAAGAGTTGGGTGGAACTTCACATGTAAGCATTGGACCGAGCCAGACGTTTTCATTAACCAGCGGTGAAGCATCTGCAGAGTCTGTTCCCATGGAAACCAATGCAAGTGAAACAGCAATCCAGATCCCTGTCATTATCAACCCTTCCCTCTCGTCTCAAATAAAAGGATACGAAAAGCATTGGGTAGAAATTTCAAGTGAAAAGGTGTACATGCCTCAGGCTTCTGAATTGGGTGGACATTTGAAGCTGGTGTGTACACCAAGTGACGGAGAACGGTTGGGGAGTGCTAAAGAAGTTGTGACTATGTGTGAGGTGAAGATGGCCCCTGATGCCTTCCCGTTTGAGAAAAGACATCAATACACCAAGGACAAAACATCTGACAACTGGTAAGTTCTGGAAAGAAAGTGTTATTGTCCAATTTTATTGGCCAGAATGACAGAAGAAAGTTGGATTAGCTATGAACCTCAGCCCTTCAAAATCCTCTGCTAGATATGCTCTGTGAAGGGGTATACTCACCACCTTAATCCTTCAAAATCCTCAAGCAATTCCTGTCATTGTGTTGAGGCAGTCTGAATGTCATCCGAGAGCATCATGGATGATTAAACCGAGACATGAATGTATAAAAACACAAGGTCCAGTCCAAGACACGGACAAAGTACATGCTTTGCAAATCGGCCACACTGGTTTATCATTCATCCGCAATCCTCCAAAATCCTCCAAAACTACTCCGAGAATTCTGGAGGATTGAGGGTGGTTAGGGTTAGGTTCACATGACAAAAATGAGGAGTTTCAGGTATTGTTCGTTTGGGCAAAAGGTATTGAGAGTGTACCAAATGCTTGGTTTAGTTTCAGAGTTGTATCATACAACATCTTGGCAGACATGTACGCTGATTCAGATTTCTCAAGGGATGTACTCTATCCTTACTGCCCTAAAGATGTCTTGGATATTGATTACAGAGAACAGTTGCTGCTCAAAGAACTCACAGGTAATGTCAACCCTACATGTAACCCTCCAGCCTACTTTGGCTAGAAACCCTGCCAGACGCATCAAATTGCATCATTTGTCCTAGTGGCTTGCCAGCACAGTGTTACAAGATCCAACAGATCAACTCTCCCCAAGGCCAAACGGTCTGGGAGTCTGTGGTTGCCAGTCACCACAAGATCCAACAGTTTCATCGTCCAATGGGACTAGCTCCCATCGTCTCAACATGGCCAGTTTGTTTGGCTGCTGTTGATTACCCAGTGAATCAAAGTGCATCAAATCTTTTCACCTGATGCACTGTGCTGCACCCGGCAGGGTTAGGGTTAAAAGTAGCATAAATGGTTTGCTGCTGTTGGCACTTAATGCAGCCAGCAGCAGACCCACACACATAATGTGTCTAACAGATGTGTTGCGTATTTGTTATACTGTGTCATGTTGGGGAGGAAATATCACAGGTCTTATTGTGAAAAGAAAAATAATTATAGAAATGAAAACTGTAAGTTTGTGTTGAATGTAAATGTCAAAATTGATCATAAAGAAGGGTAGATGTAAAGAATTTGATGAAAAAGATGTTACATCAAGAAGATATTTTACACCAAACAGATTACAAGGGATTGGACTCTAAAACATCTTTTGAAAAATTTCACTTTTTGTAATTTTAATGTTGCACAAACAGGCCAAAATGACTTTTTCTTTGCCTGCTGATGTAGATCCTCAATTCCTTGGAAACTAACTCTGAGAACATACTCCACACTCAGATATTTCTAATGAACCATTTAAGTGTCATAACTCACCAGGTTACAATGCAGACATCATGTGTCTTCAAGAAGTTGGAAGGAAATTATTTGAATCTTCCATGGAGCCTTCTCTCAAGAACTCAGGACTCGATGGTCTCTTACGATGCAAACATGGCAACTTAGCTGAAGGAGAAGCCATCTTCTACAGAACAGACAAATTCAGGTTGGAATGAGTTACACCTTTTTCTGGGGCAAGTTTCATCTGAATGCAAAAACTCATGGAGAACAGACATGTTTCCATGATTTGCACAATTTGAAAGACTGAGTGGATATGAACAAACTCCCAGGCCCAGTCTGTAAATGGCTATCAGAGGTTTGTGTCTATTGTCAGTGTTTGCCTGTACGTTATAAACAGCTGAAGACCTGGAGTAGCATCTTCATAAAAAGTCATCTCTAGTCAACTTAGAATGGGACATGCAAAAAACAGATCAAATCAAATGAAAAAGTCCCCTTGTACCCTTTATTTGGAAGTGTTTTGAAGATGCATCATTTTCAGGGATTCTTTACTTCTCTCTGTCTGGCTTGCTTGAGGTTTTTTTTAATTGAGCAGCGAAATACCAGCCCTAGACACACAAATTCTGCAGAATCAAACATGGGTTTTACATAATGGAACTGTGTTCATTGGATTTTGCAACCATTACTTTGAATGGGGATTTTATAGTAAATGTTGGGTACGTTTCGGCCATTAATTTACCACCACCAAGTGTTTGACCTTAAATGGGATTAGGAATGTTTTCAGCCAAATGGCTATGTTTTGAGGGAAAACATCAGTTACAGTTGTTAAGGAATTTATTCTTATTTTTGTTTTTTCCATGTTGTAGATTACTTGGCAGTCATGATGTAGCATTCTGTGAGGTATTACAGAAGGATCCATTACATAGGAATCTTCTTGAAGCAGTTGCCCGTAGTGACGCTATGCTCAAGAGGTTTCTAGGCTTGGCTGCAGTTGTTCAGGTGTTTTTTTTGCCACCAATCTGTTCTTCATTTAGAGCTTTCACAAGAAGCCATGATGGAGGTCAAGTTAATTGGCAGTCTTGCTTGATCTCCATTAATATTTGCTTACATTTTAATGGTGTACAGAGTTTCCGTGAAGAGTTGTATCAGGGGTTAATAATTAATTGATCATAGTCTGATTGTATCTGTACAACACATATGCACAGTTCAGCTGTTCATCTTAAATTTCCATTGGAAGCCAAATTGGAGGTAATATCCTCCTCCCAAACTTCGTCGGAATAGTATTTTTTTATGCGTGTAATGAGGTTTATACTTTTTGGCTAGGCAAACCTAAATATCAAGATGACTGTCGTTGTCTTGATATGATTGATAACTTTTATCTTGTTTTGCAGGTAGCTGTGTTTGAGCTTATTTCTGATCCATCCAAGAGGTTGTGTATTGCCAACACTCATCTATACTTCCACCCACGAGCTTCTCATATCCGCTTGATCCAGACAGCCATGATTACTCAACACATTCAGAAGGTCTGCTCAGTGTATCAAGAACAGGTCAGTAGACTGTCTGAGGCTCTTGCCTAAAACTTAGGATTGGCAAGAAGCCGAAATATTAAAATATAGATTTTCTGTCATTAGGGGAACTACTTTGTAAATGTCTAACTCAAGCTGTTTCCTTGCATAAAAACAGGTCCATATGCCCAACAACATCAACTTTGGCAGGGTTTCTTTGTGCTCAATTTCCTTTTGAATGTAAAAACTAAACTAAACTCAAATACGCCCCATCCTCCAAGCTAGTCTATTTGATTGCTACTGTGGAAGACATAGTTTTACCCGAAAGTATCCATAAATAGTTGTTCATCTTGTACCAGAGCTTGAAAATACTTGCAATTTCTAAAAAGAGTAAAACTCCACTCTAGTCCCATCTCTCCCCATCTTGCCCTGCCTTGTCCCAGATCAACTACATTTTAACAAATTATTGGGGGGGGGCAATTTACAGGCTTTGCATGGAGTCTTTTTATATGTTAGCAGTAAGTAATAGCCAACTTGTTCTGTTTCCAGGACAATCAGGTCAAACCAGCTGTTGTCCTGTGCGGCGACCTGAACAGTACGCCTGATGGATGTGTGTATGAGTTTCTTGTTAAAGGAAGTTTGTCAGAGAAGTCAGTGGATTGGTACTCAAGTAAGTCAGTGATATGTATGTTTCCTGCAAAGCGAGAGCAGTCACCAGACATTAGATTTACTTTAAAAGCCTTATGAAGACACAAATATCCTGAGTAACATTTGTGGGTGTCCCTGACATCAAGGGACTTCAAATCAACTGACAACAACAATGTGGACTTGTATGAAACAAAGTCCCTTTTCAATTCAAACCTTTTGTCTTTCTTTGGAGCAGCTAACCTGCTCTTAGACTGTTTTTCTATTTTTGTGCATTTCGAATTTGGTTTCTCTATAAGTTTAGATGTCATTATTCTATTTGTCTTTGAGTGTTTGAATTTTGTGTATTTCATAGCCAGTTTCTTCTTGAAGAAGTCTGTCTCTTAAGGAGCTTTTACTGTACTTCAAATTAAATTTTAGAGAGCATTACAAGTGTTACACTTTATTACAAGAGGTTTGCTCCCAAGTGGAATCTTCCAAATGAAGGTCTTCATTCGTCTTCTTTGATGTTATTGAACACATTGTAATTCAATTGTTTGTTTTGTCTGTAGGTGGAAAAGAGGAGTTCTGTGGAGGTGTTGCCCTAACTCACTCCCTGAATTTCCAAGATGCTTGTCAGGACATTGCTTACACAAACCTTGTTGCAGGCTTCAGAGGTAAACTGGACCACATCATGTTTGAAGGAGACAAGATGAAAGTAGATCGTGTTATTCCAATGTCAACCCATCAAGAAGTGACAAGGCATGTTGCTCTACCTAATGCTGTGTTTCCATCCGATCACTTATCTCTCGTCTGTGAACTGAGTTGGAAGTGACAGACATGCTGCTCTACCTAACGTTATGTTCCCATCCGATCACTTATCTCTCGTCTGTGAACTTAGTTGGAAGTGACAGACATGCTGCTCTACCGAATGCTGTGTTTCCATCCGATCATTTATCTCTCGTCTGTGAACTGAGTTGGAAGTGACAGACATGCTGCTCTACCTAACGCTATGTTCCCATCAGATCACTTATTTCTCGTCTGTGAACTGAGTTGGAAGTGATGAGACATGCTGCTCTACGTAATGCTATGTTCCCATCCGATCATTTATCTCTCGTCTGTGAACTGAGTTGGAAGTGACGAGACATGCTGCTCTACCTAACGCTATGTTCCCATCAGATCTGTTACCTCTAGTTGTGAGTGGAGTTAGATAAACAGATCTTGACAGGAAACCACAGACATTTCACAAACTTATTCTATAATGCATTTAACATTGAGTTTTATAAGTTATTTTTGTGTTTTACATTCATGACCATGTATGACTCAAGTTCCCAAGTTTTAAGCCCAGCTTTTCAAATCACCAGACAATACTTGCATGATGTGAATTAAAGATGGAAAAACATTATATGTGACCAGCTCTGGACAAATAGGTAATAAGTCACCAGATTGAGGTTATGAGCATTTGATATGGCTGGATTCTGTACATTAAAAGCTATAATTTGATATATGAATAACCCCTATAGTGTACAGCCTTCTGGAGATATGCAGACATTTGTATATCCACTTTTGGGAGTTGCTACTGAATGATCAATTTTTCATCAATATTCATCATATCCATGTTTTTAGTCACAAATTCTGAAAATCTAAATATTATAGAAGCTAATGGTAATGACCTGTTCTCCAAATAGAACAGGTCATTACGTGTTTGGGCATTGCACAACCTATTACCCTTTTTTTTGAAGAGGGGGGTCACTTATAGTACACACTAATTTGAGGACAAAGCAAATCCAGTTTAAATATTCAAAGGTTTTTGTAAAACTGTTGTGCCATTTACAACCTTTGAACTGAATAACTAATACTGAACTAGGGTCAAGAGATTCAAATTTGCCTTTGAAAATTCCTTTTGGACTGAGATCTGAAAAAGAAGTGATTATGATAAAGGAAATTAGACTTCATATTACAACTTGTGATGTACCAGTGGTTAATAAACATTTATTCATTGATTTTTTATCTTAAACCTGAGGCTGATATACTTGCTGCCTGTCGTCAATGTTTTTTCCAAAGGAACACCATTGAAGGGGAGAGGTCTACTATGATGTGCTTCCCTGGGTCTGCATTTAATTGAATCTGTCTGGGAACCCAAAGTTCACCTTATTGCTCCATGTATTCCCAATTTCTTAAATTACACCACAGAGTGCTTCTCCAGCACTGTTGAATAGAAGTTTGAATATCATGTGGCAATGGTTCATGAAGACACTTGTTTAAGGAAGGAAAATGTCACAAACTTGATGCATAGGGCTAAGGTGTTCCATGGAATGAGTTGACTTCGAAGTATCTCCAATACTCTGAAATCATTGATCCCCTTTTGAAGAGCATGTAACCTGCAATTGCATCGATCAAATCATGGAGCCCATTCTTTGCACAGTACAAAATCTACAGCAAAGACGACACTGAATTTGGATTTACAAGAAGTAAAACTCGAACCAACCAAAAATTATTTGCATGCTTTACATAAGTCAGAGGTATCAAAACCAACTTCTCATATTTCATTTACATGCCTACACACTGAAATAGTCAAGACTCATTTGGGGGTAGGGAAAAACCTCTTAAAAAACGAATTCTGGAAAGGGGATAAAGTGCTGTTTCTTCTTTTCTGTTGAAATTTAAATAGACGTAGTAACTGTCAGTGATGAGACAAGAGATACGCTGCATAATGAGAAACTCAACTCAGAACAAGATATGAGGCAATCGTCAGACTATGGGCACATGCTGAGATCTAGAGAAACCATCAAGGTCAAGTTTCCAGGGATTGCAATCGATTGCACTGAAGAAGTTTAATTGGCCAACCGTGCTGATTAACAAAAATACATGTGCTCATTTTAGGCTTAAAGCATAGTTTTGTGTACAAGTACCATGTACATGTACACTGTACATGTACGTGTGTAGCTTGACAGTACAGAGGTAAACAAACCGCATGTGCCTTTTGTATCCGTGACCTCATTCCAGGAGTACGTCACCGACCTGATGCATTAATCATGTTAGTGATCAGCTGATCCTCTTCGGTGATGATCATTGGTGAGAAGTCGTTAATTTGCATTTCAAAATGGCGGGTGAAGTTGCTTGTGGTCTGTGGTAGGCGTATTCAGCCCCACATGTTTATAAATAAAGTACTATAAATCTAGAACATTCTTCTCCTGTGGGAAGCAAGCAGCACATCTTCGTCAAGATGATCATCAAGTAGCCATTTGTTGAACGTGAGTTGTTTTACTAATCTGCTGGATTTATTGTGCGTGTCTGTTGCGTCGATCGAGCGCGCATTTGTGCACGTACGATTAGTATACGATTACAACTTTACAATGTACGTGCATCACGATTCGAAATCAGTTTGTAAACAACTTACGTGGAGGTACCTGTACTATGTACATGTAGGCCTAAAGTGTCCATGTACGCTGGGGGCAATCACTCGATCTGCGCAATCTGTTGATCTTTTGCATGATTTTCCAATAATTTTGCCCAGGCGTATCCAGTACAGTGGGGGCAGGGGGGGGGGCAACTTCCCCCCCCCGGATTTATATTTTTTTAAAACAAAGAATAGGGCCTGACCTACTTCACAGATAAGAAAGTAATCAGTATACTGATTTATCAAATATTAGCACCGCAACTAAGAAAACAACACCATGGCATGAAACAGGTCGGGGACCAAACCACAATCTAGCGACGACGCCAGACTATGCATAGGCTACGCCGCTCATTTGTGCAACAGAGACGTAGTTTTTTGAATTATTTTTAGATCATGGTTCGTAGATGACATCGATCTCTTTATCGGCCAAAATTTCAATACAATTGCTCTGAGAGATTAAATTTACCGGAAACATGCTACCCAAGATCTAAATGAAACTTTCCTTTCATTTGGTATCTATAAAAGCCGATTGAGGAGATTTTTAGGTCGAATCTTGCACTGGATGTGTCAAATTTGGTGAGCAGGCGAGTCCAATTCTGCCAATGAATATAGTTACGCGCTAAAAAAAAGCCGAGCTTTACTTCATGCATGAAAATGTTGCCATTAAAAATCTCCATCGATTCACCCTGGCAAATTTTATGTTTACCATGGCAATTTTCCAAAATAGCGATCAGAAACAATTTTGCCATAGACTCAAATGGCAATGGGGGCCATGTTGGCTGCTGGCATTTTAAATCTTGTTATTTTCCCCAAATCGCGTGAGAAAATTACATCATTATCACGTGACCTGATAAAAATGATGTTATTGCTGCTTGAACAAGCAACATAAGCAGAAACTAAGGACGTCGCTAAATTGTGGTTTGATCCTGACCTGTGAAATAAAAGCAAGGATGTTGGGACCATAAGTACTAGCACTCCTAAGGCTTTTGACTTTTTGGAGGGAGGGGAACGAGCTCCTTCTACGGACAACACTAATTTTCCCTTAAAATGTTACAACAGCCGTCAGAAAGTGATAAAATGACCTAAACTGTGACATTACATGTAAGCGAAGAAAATTCCGAAGCATTTACTAAGAAAACACTGCGTTTTTTCCGGTCAGGTCTCTAGGTTCGGGCGCCGGGGTATCAAGTGTTGTTTTTCCTTTTTTCTCCCCAGCATCATGTTTAATGAGCCCAAAGCTGCAGTCCCTTTTGAATTTGCTCCCCCCCCCCGGAGCCAAACACTGGATACGCTGCTGCATAAGCCAATAACTGGTGAGATTGGTGAACGTTCATTGGAAGCTGTCCCCTACGCTACAGTCCAGTTAGACAGTGCACATGGACATGTGCATGTAGGCCTCAGTCACATTTAGATATATCATGTTTATGTAACATCGTGTCCTTAAAAGACTCATTTTGCAATGAAAATATTGAACTATTTACTTAACACAATTTTTCAGACCAGTCTCAGCCACTCATACTGTAGGGTTTCTGCACAGGGTGTCAAGTTTGTATATGAAACTCTTTCTGATTATTTTAAGGGAAGTAAAGTCCCATGGAAATGTGCTGAATGACTGAGCGCACCCTACAAGACATCATCACTCAGTACATAAGTACCAGTCAAAGCGCATTTGATGTGTACATTGTATATACATGTGCTTGTGCACACATATCCTAATATGGCATTGTTGGGCATGATCGGCCGATCTTAATGATCTCTCAAATGCCCTGTAGACCCTACAGATGGTCGATTCTGTGTGAAATCTCCAAGTTTACTTCCTTTTTGAAACAATCTTTTATAACAGCGAAGAAAAGCCAATTGGCTGATGACAGAATTATGGACAAATCATGGGAAAGAATTCCACATATGGATGCCACTAATTTTTCCCTGCGGTTACCTGCATGTGGTTGTCTGTATATGGAACTCTTTCCGCATCAAAGATTGAGCAGTCTGCTCATATCGACCAATTGCACCCAACATCATCCTGATGTGCATGTACTTCACTACAACTGCACTACTACCAATTGTTTATACTACCCAAATTTTGAAATTGTTGTATTTTAGCATTTTCAATGTAAGCCCAGGCTACGTCATTATAACCCCCAGACCTGTGGGCTTTGTCGTTCGCCGAGGAACACCGCAGTTCTTACATTATTACATGTAGCAGTTTCTGATCGTCAACAGCTCTGAATCACTTGATTATATTAGAAATTATTTTAGAATAACCAAGCCCCCTTTATGAGATTCATTTACTACAATTGCGTTATCTATTTTACAATTGTCAGAATAGAAGTTTTGGAAATTGGTTGAACATCAATATAAACCACAATGCAGATGCTGGTCCTTTTGCAATTAATCACTGAAGTAAAGTGTAAAAAGGCAACCTTCTTGGTTTCTTCTGTTATTTATCAAAATTTATCAATTTTTCTTCACCTTATTTTGTTTTCTCAAGGACACTGTGACATCTTTGACCCTGTGTATTATTTCAAAATTTGAGTAAAACTAGATTGCCTTATTTTCAGAAAGGTTTTTTTTATTACTACCTCTCAACTTTATTTCCACTGCAAGTAATATGGGAGACAGTTCTAGATCACCAATGCATACAGTGCACTGAGTGCAGTAAGGATGCAGTACAGAAGCTGTACTGAAGACGCGGCACACTGAGCACACCGTGAAATTATAATTTCAAGCGCCCCCTTCCTGGCCTTAGTTGTAACCTTCAACTTCTGTATTTCTTTGAACAGCTGGAAATGGCTGAGATGGTTCTCTGTAATGTTGTGATACTCCCCAAACTATACCTGTACAAGGTGGCACGGCATGCATAACATGTCAAAAGCGATCTGCAACTGTTGAGTTTAGTCCTGTGTGAAAGTAGGGATAGAATTCTGTGTATGTATATACATGTATATATTATTGATTTAATTTCTGTTCGGGGCCAGCATTTTTTCAGTTTAGAAATACATGTATTTTCTGTCAAGATCAAGGGGAGAGATTTCACCGCAAGCACATGCCACCCAATCGCAGAGATTCCGAGAGTGAGCCGATTGGTCATTTTATGACGGGGTACAATTTGCGACGGTGTCCATTGTTACGTGGATTCTGTAAAAATGAACAGCTATTTCCCTGCATAAGGATTGCAAATTATACATGTACATCTTGCAAGGCTGAATACAGAGGTGTGTGTTATTTTTACAGAGTAAATGACCTACTCTACAGGTCATGACAGGTGATAAAAGTTACCAATGTACACTGTAACAAGGACATCACAAATTGCGCCCCAACCTCATGGAATGACCCAGATGTACATGTACAGTGGTTTGTCTGAAAAGTGATCCAGAACTGTTGCACTCACTGTACAAGGTCAGTCAGAATTTGGTGGCTATACAGGTATCTCTGTGATAGTTATATGTACATGTATATGTACACATATGCAAAATGATTAATTTAAGCCTCGTCAGAAGTCATTCTCATGCTTGTTGTACTATTTTTGATCCCAAGAAATGTTGCTGTTAGTGAATGATTACTTACATGTAGATGTAACCATAACCAAACATAGAGCCGCATGTATTGACCGAACTTGTTTTGAAATTCTTTGGAACAATAAAATACCCATAGGCTTAGATGCCATTTGAATTAGGAGTTGCCAGTGCTTACAAGGAAGAAAGTTGGTTTTTAACCCCTAGCTGCAGGTGGCTACATGAACACATTGTATTGTAGTATACATGTACATCCTGCCTTATGTGAGTAATTTATCTACCAATAAGGATCGAGATGACACCCGTAACCTTCCGATTTCCTGTGGTTTTCCTGTTTTACCTAAAGGGACTGGTTTCTCTCATCAACTCTGTTCAGATAGTGCACATGATGTAATAATCATCTACGAAACAATATGGTCAGCTTCATTCCCTGCTACTACATGTAATTAATGTAAATTACCTGATGTGCGCTTACCAGTAGATATCAGAAGAGTAATGTGTATATTTATCAAGGGTTTATGGACTTCACATGTTGATTAAAGACTATGAACTAAAATAAACAGGTACGTGTACGTAGTTGCTTTTTCTTGATAATGGTAACAATGATAAAAATAGACAGGAAAATCACACCACACTGCAGGTGGGGACACCGTCTACTGTACAATGTACATGTACAATATATGTACATGTACATGAATATGTACATTGTACATGTACTGGTTTTTGCATGCAAGTTAAAACACACATGCACTGTACTGCAGGTTACCACTGGAACAGCGTTTCTCAGTAAACTCCTTAGCATTGTGATGTCAACAAAATGTGGTGGGAATAATTGAGTTTGCTCCCTGGGATCTGGAGGTTGTACTTGGAACTTGATTTTGGGAGGTCGATTATTAGGAAATGACGGCTGTTACCACAGACAAAAGTAAATCACATGACTAATTCACTATCCCTACTATTATTACTCATGGCTACTCTCACAAGTCACATGACTAAAATCATGCTGAGTGGTTACAACCCTGAATGCCACATACGTGAGGTGACTGAAATTAATCAAAGAGGTCAGACACATATCGGGCCTCTCTATTGGTGGAACCATTATTACTAAAATGCATCACAGATTTTGATTGGTTGGTTGCAAGCTGTATTAGATAAAAACTAGGAGTTTCTAAAGTATGTAACCACTCAGTGGCATGACCACGGGTACATGAACAGATAAGTTGGGGTCAGTGACAACCTTTTCTGCAAGGGGAATTTTTATCCGAAGGTAAGGCAGATACTTATAGATAAATAAATTTCTAGGTCATAGATGTACAAAGTGTTTGTACATTTATTATAGTGTGTAACGTGTAGCTGTATTCATAAATGCCGTGACCAACCCATGCTGATTTAGAAAACGAACCCAACGTCGTCTTATTTTGATGAAATATGCACAGAAGTAGAAAATATAAGAAAAAAAACACAAGATAGCATTTTTCTAAGACATTTCCTGAAACTTTTGAGTTGAAAGAGGAAAAATGCATTCGAATCTTAGATCATTCAAGTTAACATTACACATGTAATTGTGACTTGACTGGATTTGTACCCTGCATGCTTACATGTATTGGTAGATCATGGGGCATACGGCGTGTGTCAGTGTCAACATCTTGTATCTCAAATTACAAGGTTTTGACTGAAATAGATGTATGTGTGGTAGGTCATTTCAAGCTAAAATGTCCTGTGTTGATCTTGTTCGTTTCAAAGTTCATTTATCTCAAATTAATCAAGATACTGAAGCCCAGAACAGACAAAGTTACGGTTTTAAATAAATGGTCTGTCTTAACTTACATTATTGTGAATTTTAATTCAGCCCAAAAATTTACCTGTGTGGCTACTCTCTCACAACCTAAATACCATGTTTTTGTACTGATAAAGTGTTCTATAAAATTTGTTCTAAAGGTAGAGTCCATCAGTTACAGTTATCAAAAGTAACTGACAAAAATTATTGTTAAATGTATACTTGGTCTAAAGATGGTTATGGTACTAAACTCCATGTGAAATTATTCTTTCTGTCTCACTGTCATCAGCAGGTTGTTTTCATAGGCACTGTTGTTTAGAGTTAGAATACACATGTACATGTAATGCACAAATGATAAGTGACAGACTGTACTGGTACCTTTCAATGTGTTTAGTTTATCCCACCCAGACCTACTAGGAAGATGTGCTGGTGGTGAACTATTTCACTCCTCATGGCATATAAGCATAGCCCAAAATATAATACATGTTGATGTACATGTACACAGCATGTAATGGTTGACAGTATTACTGCGAATGTTACCTAATGCTTATTTGGTTAAGTGGACTTTTATAACAGTACAGGTGCTATTTAAAGAGCAGTTGGGATCAAACTTATTGTTGACAGGTAAACCTTGCAGGTATTTATTTCGATCATAAATGTGATACTGTATGTGGAGGTGCCTTGTTGTATTGAATAGCTGCAGAGTTGCGTATTTGTTACCTTTGGGTTTTTGGATGGAGCTGTCCTCAATCTGACAATGTCACATCCCGGCACTCAGTGGTAAACCTGAGATCATAGTTATCGACTCATCAAAACTCATGTACGAAACGTTGGTGACTGCGGGATCAATGAAATCATTCACAGAATTGCCGATAGGGGACAACAAATTATGGATTAACCTAAATTCACCTGGAGTCTGTTTTGGCACCAGGCCCAAAGGTGAACAACGGAAATGAGGAAGAAGCTGGGAAAAAAGGACCAGCAACGGGACCCAAAGCGATTTATCGCAGTCACACCGCAGGTTGTTTACTTATCAGATTGTGAAGATCCAGTAGAAAATGCTCATGTCAGGTATTTTAGATTTGCCAGTTACTTGAATCATACATGTATTTTGTGCATTTTATCAATGCTTTTAATCACTTAGCTCTTCAGTCATATTTTCAGTCATGTACATGTACACGTACACATGTAGATGATGGTGATATATTGCCAGATTACTAGAGTGCTGCAGGCTTGTTTACAGGTGACCCCAGTTTTAAAGCTGCCACGGCAGGTGTAATAATTGGGTAGAAAGGAAGAAACGCAATGTTTAATATAGCCTTAGTGGATATTGTGTACATGTACATTGCATTCTGTCTGTTTGTTTTCATTTGTATCAGCTGTGTAGACAGTACATGTAAAGTGCAGATGTTTACAGTTGTTCATCTGTGCCAAACTGTTGTCATTATTAATTAATCAACAGTCAGACACTCTGTGCATTGCGAGGAATTCACTCTTTTTACAGATCTCAGCATCTTTCGTTGTTTTCAGTTACCACTTGATGGGATCAACTGGATTGGAATTGACAAGAAAACAAACCGAGAAGCTGACATTTTGCCAGCATGGATGATTCTGTGGCAATCAATATGACCGAGGTGAGGTATCTTTAAAGGTCAAGGACAATTGTGCACCTGTACTGATTGATATCGCTACAAATTTGTTTTTGCAATCTGTGGTTTAACAGGCTCTTGAGTTGCAAGTTGTGAAGGACTGAATTTCAAAATCTGCACTTTTAAGTGAATTTTAGTTGATTTGAGTTACTTTTTGGTTACATTTGTATGCATATACAGGTATGTTTAATGGTCCTAAACACTTTGAGCCAGTTGATACTTGGTGTGAATGCAAGTGCAGACATCTTGACTTGAGCTATTGTTTGAATGGTCTGAATGTTTCTTGTTTTGCTTCAAGTTAAGCTGTACTTGGATTATGAATTTACCAAGTAAATTACCGAGTAACCATTCAAAGGCTGAACGCAAAGGTTGTGAGGAGAATGATCAATTTCTTTTTGTTGCAGTTACCACGGACAGCCTCTTCTGACTCAGCCAGGGAGCGTAATCCTGAGTTAGATGCTGAGATGGAGAAGGTGTTCCAGCCCCCAGTCAAATTTGAGATCCTTGATACTTCAGTGGAAGTACAGCCTGGACATAACATTCACTTTGATGAACAGGACTATGAAAGTAAGTAAAGATGCTTCCAGTTTGGGTCAGTATGAAATAGTGAGCATTTTATGTAACAAATTCCAAGGAAAATGCTAGGTAACTTCTAAGCCTAAAGCTTGCTAAGTTAAGGTCCAGTAGTTTAATTAGTTCTGCAGAGGAAAAGGTAAAAGTCAGTGGAATAAATTTGTCATAAATATGTACAACAGAGTAAGAGCATTTTGGTAATTTAAATTGCAACTTGTGGTGATTTTGACACAACCCATCCTAAGCCATATTGTAACCTATGGTCAACTTTGGAACAGCTGTTGAACTTGACTATCACTGGCATTGTCCACCAATATTCTTGGACAGGACACCGGCACTATGACCACCATCATCATCACCATCCTCTCAGTCCACTGCGTAAGAACAAGAGCTGCCCTCGCATATCTGGTCCAAGTGATCGATCCCATCACCACTCCAGCGCCAAGCACCAACGTCCTAGTGTCGTGGGTAGCTTCTCCGAGAGGAGTGAGATCAGCCCTATAGCCGAGGGGGAAACGGAAGGGGAAGGGAATGGAGAGGAGGCCGAGGAGCAAGATGCAGTCAAGGAGATAGAGGTGCCTGTTGAAGTCAAGGAGGACAAGGTTAATGGAGAGGAGAAGATAGAGGAAGAACCAAGGCGAAATGTGCCAAAGGTTAGTAATAAAGAGAGGGTAAAAGACGCGAGGACAGGCCTATGACAATAGGAATCGGAAGAGTCGAGATGTGGATTGTAGTCATTGCACACAAGTGTTAGTAATTTAATCTTGCTGGTAAAAGCAACACATCATTAAGTCACCAAGTTAAAGTTTGACATGCAGTACTAAGGTGTTGTATTACACTCTTTTGTGCCCTCTTGTCACTATATAGACTATTGAATCTTCAGTCAGTTTGGGAT